TCCAAGCTGAAGGACCAAAGTGGCAGTTGAACTGAAATTTTAAAAAGGAAAGGGAAGAAATCTGAGTCCCCAGGACCTAAAACCAGCCCTCCGCTTGTCCACCCCATTCCCCAGGGCCAGAGTCAGGAAGGGAAATCCACCAGATTCAGCGGCAGCTGAAGGAATAACAGCACATTTTTGAAAAGCCAAGTCACATTCACCGCCCCAAACAAGGCAACCTCCCCTCCTCCTCTGGTCCATGTCCTAGTTCACTTCTTAACTCGGAGGGGTGGAGGGTAGGGAACTATGTCTAAACCCGGACAGGTTTGGTCTTATTTCCTTGTTGTCTTACACAATCTCAGGTGCAGGATGGGGGTGCTGGGCAGAGCCCCAAGCTGCACTCAGGTCACACACCTGGGAACAGTTTTGTAACAACTCTGAGTACCTTCCAACTCTGAGTGGGGGCAGCACCCCTATCAGGTGGCAGGTACCCCCACAACTGCCACCCCTCTTCCACCTGTGAGCCCTGGCTCCAAAGATAGGCAGCACTGGCAAGTGAGTTAGCCTTGAAAGGAGGCTCCTTAAAAAGTCTGTGATTTTCTTCTCTACTTAGTGTGCTGGGGGTGGTGCCTAAAGTCTCAGAAATCTTGGCTTTTGCCTCTAGAGGTGCCACAAGGGCCTGTCTGGCAATAGCTCAGCTTGTCCCCAGGAGGGGGGTGGGCAGGGCTGAGAAGCTGCCAAGCCTGGTCTGGTCAGGAGGTCGTTGGCCTGAACTCGGAAGTCCTATCTCCTTCTGCAGCCTGCCAGCTAGTCTGCTCCTGAGTCCTGCAGATGATCTCTGCTCAGACTTCTCAACCCTATTTCCATCTGGTTACAGAAATCTGGGAACAGCTTCCCTGCCCCTCCCAACCCCCCCAGTACTTCTCCCTTCCTTTCATCTTGAACACGGCTGAGCAGGTACAGTATTTGTGGATCTCACAGGCTGGGTGTTCTTTCCCCCATCTGTGAATGTTCTGGAATCTGCTGAGCCCCACAAAAGCATTATTAAGCAGCCCATGAACTGTGCATCTTAAGCATTCACCACGGAAAGGGAAAAAAAAGGTCTTAATTTAAATGTTTTAAGTTTTCAGGGGAAAAAGTGCTTAGGGTGGTTTGTTCTCTTAAATTAGATTTCATTTTTCCTGATCTTTCCATTCTTTTAATTGGCTTTCCTTGTGCTTTTTAGCACTTTTCGAGATATTTGAACAGAACTTTGAATTATTATGCCAGAAAATAGCTAGGACACTTCCCCTGGCAGCAGGGCCAGGGAACAGAGCCCCCACACACTGCCGTAGCCCTGCTCCCATAGCCAGCACCCCTAAAGACAACCACAAAGCTACCCAAAAATGGGTCCTTAAGGACACCCACGGAAGGTGCCCTGGATCATTTACCTCTTTCTTTGCTATGCCCCAGTCTCCTCGTCTGTAAAACAAGGCTAACCTAGATAAATCTTTAACGCCACTCCAGCTCAGAGTTCTGTGATTTTAAAACTTGTGCAACACAGGATAAAACCAGGAAATCTCCCATATCCACTCAGCTCTGAGTCTGAAGCTCTGCACCCCTCAAACCACCTCCCTGAGGGGCCCAGCTGGGCATCTCGCAGATATGCCCGACAACTAAACCACCCTGCGTGGACAGAGCCCTTCCCGCCAGGCTGCAGGAAGTGCTAATCACGGGCTCTTAACACCAGGGACCGAAAGGCAAATTTTCTCCTTGGAAGAGAACACATATCCTGTGTGAGTCAGACAGGCAAGACGGGCTGATTCTTTGCACCTCCTTACTGTCTCCTGTGCTTCTTTTCCTCTCATATTAAAAAAAAAAAAAAAAAATTCACCTCTTATCTTCACTTTCGAGGATATTAAAACACGAGGCTTGGCAGCCACAGCAGACAACACAACAGAGAGAAGAGAAAGGACAGAACTCAGCGTCACACGGATACTGGGGTGCCTCCCATTCGGCTCCCCACCCAGCTGACCTGCAGGGAAGCTCTCTGCCCTGCTCCAGGCTTTGTGAGGTGGGTGACCACATTACCACCCCACAACCAGAGGAATGTGCTGGGCATGAAGGGGGTCTCTGGAAGTCATACGCATGCATGATGTGGAGCAGACAGAAACCAAGACTTTCTCATGTCAACAGGACCGGCCTCCACACACCGGGACGAATGTCAACTACGAATGTGCTGTATCGAAAGCGCACAGACAGTCCCAACAAGGGCACAGGCAGGGTTGGCTCGTGGGCTGACAGCCCCCTTAGAACAGCTCTCGGTTGGCCTCACAGGCGTCTGGTTTTCCTCCAGCTTCCCTGCCTGCTCCTCCCTGGTCTCCTCAGCCTTCCTCGTGTGCCCTCCTGCTGGGCGCCCATGATCTCTCTTCTCCACACTCTGTCACCCTTTTGCAGGCAAGATGATCCAAACCCCACTCGGGACTTTGAAAACAAAATGAGGAGGACAACAGAGGAATCTGTCTTCAGGACACACCCCGCTTCTAACCTCACATCTACATTCACACAGGACTGTCTTCTCAATGCCAGACTTCCCAAACTGAACACCTTGGTCTGCCCCACCCCGTCCTCCCAGGCACTCCCTCCAGGAGCCCTCCAGAGTCTGGAAGCACCCCCAGACATTCATGCGTCTGGCCCAGAAACCTGGGAGTCTTTCTCCACATCTCCATCTCCCTGAACCCCTGCCCCCTGGCCAAGAATTGCTGATTCAGCACCTCAGTGGCCTCGCGTGAGTTCCCTCAGCCTCCCCACTGCTTCCTCCTTCTCCCAGGCCCCACCCCCTCCCTGAAAAGTGGGCGCCTCTGTGCTGGTTCTCCCCGATATTCCCCTTCTTCACCCATACATGGAAGCCTACGTCCCGCCAATCCATCTCCTACGAGGCGCCCAAAGCAACCTTTATACGATGCAAACAAGATCACATCATTCTGCTTTAAAACCAGCTTTGTGGGCCCCACAGCTCCTCAGATTGTGGTCAAGTCCTTAACCCAACACTGGCCATCCGGCCTGCTCAGGCCCCCGGGCCTCACACACAGCCATGTCCCCATCCCTGCTCTCCCGTGGGCCCCCCTTTGTCGGGAGCAGCTCTCAACAGGCTCCCCGTGTCCCAGCACACTTGTGCTCTCCCGTCTCCTGCTTCCTCCCGACATTTGGCTAAATGTCATTTCCTTGGGGGTGCTTTTTGACTGCCCAGAGTAGCTCCCTTGGGTAAGCCTTCTGGGAGCACCTACATCCCCCTTTAATTAGTGATATTTGCTGTCCACCTTCCAGTAGGAAGTCCAGGAGGACAGGGGCACATCTGTGTTGACTGCTGTGCCCAGGGCCCAGCACAGGGCTTGGCTGTAAAAGGTTCTACTCTCAAGCACAGAGTGAGGAGCGGGAGGTGAGAGGAGGGAGGAAGCATCGCACAAAACTGTTCTCCCACTTGAGGCTGCCCGCATTCCCCCACCCTCCATCCTGATGAGACTGAAATGGGAGATATAAGAGGCAAGAAAATGAGGGCATGAAGTTGGGAATCACGAGCAAGGAGGTGAAAGGGGACCCTTTAGGGGCACCTCGAAGCAAGCTGGCCTTGCAGGGAAGCTGGTACTGTCCACTGCACCTATTTTTATCTCTAAAATGTCTCCAATGCACATAAAAACCAGAAAGAGGGGCAGTCTGGGGAGGGCTGGGTGGATTATCTACACTGATTTTTTTGAACAACAGCCAGTCACGCGATAGCCACGCACGTGGGCTTCCTGGTTCATGAGGCTGTAAAGCTCAGCCAGCTCCTGAGCCCTGTGACTCCCATGTCTTGGGGTCTTTGCAGGGAGGTGATGGCTCAGAGCTCGAGACACCCACTCAACCTGCCTCTACCATCATCTCAACCAAAACTGCACGTCACGTCCCCACATGCTGAGGTACAACGGTAAGGTCCTCCACTACGTGTGTTACATGAAACAATGCAAATCAACATCCCTCAGAGCTAACTGGAAACTCGCCACCTTCAGAAAGAATGCTGCCCGTCTACACCGAGGCCCCATCTGCACTGCGGATGTCACGTTGACAGCAGTTCCCCCAATGGAAACAAGTGCTAGGGGCAGGAGTCACCTGAAGCACGTGACTTAAGAACTGCGCGTGGTGTGTGATGTCCATCGGGCAGGTGTGGAAGTGCACACCTGAAACTCACATCACGTCATCAACAATGCCATTTCAATTAAAAAAAAAAAAAGAATTAGGGACTACAGTAATCTTGCACAAGCAGTTCTGAATAAAAACGTCTACCCTTGCAGGTCTCTGCAAATTTTTCTCGCAGTAAAGCTGTAACATGTCACAGCCCAGGTTTCTTCCCACTCACTGTATTTTGGATAGTGCTGCTTCCCAGGCTTTTAACTCCCACTACCCCTTTGTTAGTCTTGTTTTTTGCTTTTTGTTTTTCCTGCGAACAAGAGATTCTCAACAGATTAGGACACAAATAAATGAAATTTTCTACTCACACATGGGCCGCATCAGAGATCATTTGTTCAGAGAAACAGATGCTAAATTATGTCAATTGCTAATAGCACTTGTGATACATAGTGAGGCGGCAAGGCTCTCAGGAAGCACTCTCGGGCCATGTATCACGTTGGCCAAAGTTATTGGTGGTCCTGACATGTAATATCCCTCCAGAAACCACTGAAGAGCCATTCATGTTCACTGTAAAATTTGCAGCATCTTCAGAAAAGAACCGCACTGTGTTTGTGAAAGCTGTTGATTTGGTGGATTTAGTCCACGTGGCTGCCTGCCGTGGAACAGTACACGTGCCAGAGAAATCTTCCTCCAAGAGTGCTGTCCCGACTCCAAAGGACCAGAACTCTGTTTATTAGCAGAGGCCAGAGTCATACGAGACTAACTGCTAAGTTTCCCGTGAAGGGTAGTAAGTCCCCAAGCACAGGTGAACAGGCATTTTGAAAAATTAAACTCAGACATTTGCAGTAACATTGCTCAATAGCTCGCAGGCTACTTACATCCGTGTCAGGTCCTTTATCCGCACCCGGACAAGAAAAAGTAACAAATTCATGGCACCTCTTGTGAACCACAAAACAGCAAACTGGTGGAGAGAAAAGAAAACCAAAATTAGAACAGTCTAAATGTAACACACAAGCTTTGTTTTCTGAACAGGGCTACTGCTGTCAGGAGTCAATTCAATTTCACTACAGATGCATCTTATCACCGGCCATTGGAAGGCGTTTCATCAAGACCCAGTAACATTTGGGATTGACTGGACTTGTGTAAGGGCCACAAAATTCCAGCACTGATGGGGCCGTGGAGGCCTGACCTTTAGTTTCGAGTCACTAGTGTGGAGAGAGACTAAACGACAGTTTTTCAAGGTACAAACCAGGCATCAAACTGCAAAGTACTTTGCACTGTCCTAACCCAGCACACACACATGTGCACACATGTGTGAGTGTTCGTAACATTCTACCCTTTGGGTGAGATGAAACACAAAGAGCAAAACTCATGACAAATATTAAAGGGGCATCTCTGAATGTGGATGACAGATCATCCTCAGCAGAAGTCCGCACTTGAGGTCCTCATCAAGACAGACCAATCTACAGAAAGACCTTGGAAATGTAGAGAAGTCAAGGAAGTGGACACCTTGTGTATCTGCCTGTTTGTCACAGACAAGGCCACCAGCTGGGGGACTCTGCCAAAATCCACAACACAGCAAGTATTTCCCCAGCTTAACACAGTTTTGATAAATCATCTTGCATTTGAATCAATAAAAGAATTGTGAGTTATCGAACTTAATAAAATAATCCCCTCACAGATTTTTATAGACAGGATAATGGCAGGGGAAAGGGGTTAGACAACAAAAGTGACCTAGCTAGCCCCTGACACGGGCCTGAGGCCAGCCCAGGAGGGCATAATCTATTGACTGCACAGGCTGGCAACATCACCTGCCCTGAGAAGTCCTGGGCAGAGCCGAGTCTTTACAGCAGCAGACAAGTGGGGACCTCTCGACGTCAGGCTTATGTCCTCTTTCTTCTGCTCCTTCCTGCACATATGGCAGAAGATGAAGGCAAATGAAGCCAGGATGGTCTTTGCAGCAGGTGTGAGAGGAGCAGGGGTGCCACGAGCAGAGGTTCCAAGGGGAGACATGAACTGGGAATTGTTAGAGGGCCTTCAGTGTCCAGAAAGAACTTCTGAATATTTTTTAATTCTTTGGGTAACCACTGAAAGGTCTGGAACAAGAGTAGCACAGAGGAAAGCAGTGCTCTGGAAAGGCGAATGGTGGTGATCGGGGGACCTGAATGGAATTGATTTGGGCCGTAACAGCAACTTAGAAGCCTCATCCACAGACCAAGTATGGAAATAGCTGCCCATCATTATTTAGGCTAAGAGATGGGAGTAAGAGATGCCAGAGAAAATGGCAGAACTGACAGGATGTGCCAACTGACCTCAGTGGCATTGACTGAGCATCCTACTGTGCGCTGGATACAGTGCTGGGCTCTTCTCCGTGCGCTATCTAGCTCTAGGGTCATGACGCAATTTAATAAGTTTTGATGCCGCATTTCCCTGCACGGCTCCTGGGCATCTAGCATGTTGTAAGCACACAGCATTTGTGGACAGGCGACAGGGCAGGCAAGGACAGAGGGCTGGACCAACACTGAAGGTCTTGCCTGAGGCTACCTTCCTACTATGTCAAGGGGCCAAGATTCTTTTCACTTCCCAGCCTTTTCCTTCCTTCCTCCACTAATGGGAGCAGAAAAGAAAAGACACTACAGCTGATGCCATGATTTTGCAACAGTGGACCCACAACCAAATTATATATTATATATGCCACATATATTTCAAAGAAAACAATCCTCTTAGCCATGCATACATGTGAATCCCGAGGGAGGTGTGGTGTGTGGAGGGGCAGGACAGGGACGGAGCAGGATCTCTTTGACCTGAGCAGACGGGGTAAGGAGGAGTCCTGGAGCCCTCGGTGGATTTTTCAGGCTTTTATTGGGATTTACCAGGCACACAGCAGGCAGGGGTGCTGGGGCGGGGGGCGGGCAGGAGGCTGGCAAGCCTCCTAGCCCCCAGCAAATCTTTACACTTCCTGGGCTCTCCAGCGTTCTCTCTCTCCTTTTGGTTCTGCTGTTCCGCTCTGCTGGCGTCCCCGTGACGCCACCCTTATAAGCCCAGTCTTAGCCCAGGTGCATCCCACCTACATATGCCCACACCCCACTCCAGGTGCTCGCCGTCAGGCATGCATTCGGGACCGCAGATCCATCATCAATCCTAATGGCGGGAGGGCAGAAAAGCCTGACACTTTTTTACCTTACCCTACAGTGTCCCGTCTCAGAGAAACAAGCTAAGAGATGATGCCTTTAAGGTGATCCTAATACGGATGTCACTGTAAATGTACTGTTTTCAAAATGAGAGAATACAGGCTTGTCCCTGAGCGAGCAGTCAAACAGATCGGGACCATCTGAAGAAAGGTGATAATTGAGTATCTCTTAAAGAACATCCCTAAGGAGCAGGGATGCTCTGGGGAGGGTTCTCCTTGGCTGCAGGCCACAACGGGCTCTGTGCACAATCGAGGTGGCAGAGGTGAGTGAGGGGGCTCCCTAGGTGGCACTTAGCTCCCCAAGCCCTCAGAGCAACCGTCTTTATACTCTTTCCGCTGAAGGCATCTCCACTGCAAGACGCTCTAAAGATGGGTGTCAGAGCAGCTCTGTGATGGCAGAAATTAATCTCCTCTGCTGGCTCTCCCCAGGCACAAAGTCATCTTTCATTCACCAGGTCCAGAAAGATAAATGACTAAAGGAAACGGGCCATAGGAGCATTAGTTCCTCCCCCGTTTACTACAGATACATTATTTTGAAGGGGAAATCAGTATTCTGAATCCCAACTCAATCATTCAAACATTTGAGTCTTTTGTCTCTCTCTCTCTCTTTCAATCATCTCTACATTCAGGTGAACACTGTTAAGAAATTCTGCCTTTATCAAACCCCTTTGGAAGGAGAGGCAGCTTCAGGTATTTGTCTCCTACAATCCCCATCTGCTCGTCAATGCAATTGCATATTGTCAGCTGTATTTCTCCCATATGCCTAGAGCAGTCTCGTATGCAATATGATACTAAGAAGAAAGAGTCTTCCACGTACAGCATAATTTTCAAGGACAGCCAAAAGCCCCACCGACCCCAAACTGCTTCCTCCCAACCTGCCTGAGCAGCCCCCGCTCCCTCCTGGCTCACAAAGAAGTCTCACATCTGGAAGTGAGGGGACTCACCCCACAGCTGGAGAGAAGGGTCATGTGCTTCAGAGATCCACTCTATACAGTCACTGGAGGCTCAGAGACTCGGGAGTCAACACAAGGGTCTTCACAGGAAGAGGGAACAGAGGGAGCCCTCTGACTAAGGAGAGAGCCAGGTTAGCCCAACACCTACCCCAGTGAGGGGTGCAGGGAGAGGCGCTTAGCACTGGCCGGGTGGGGCTACAGCAGCATCTGCCTGGGAAAGAACATTAAGCAAAGGCCAGAGATTCCAGAATCACTGGCCGTGACCTCTGGTTTCAAATTCCAAACTAAATTGGGCAGTGCATATTTTGTAAGATAATATAATGCAAACATTTGAGACATCTTGCTAGTGTCATTGAAGAATGAGGGAAAAACTGGTTCGGTAAACAAGAGAATGCGTCTAGCTGACCAGGACACAGCGCACAGACTGACTTTCCTGGGGCTAACACAAGCTGACTTTTTTTTTATTCCTTTTATTTTGGATTCTAAAAGTTTTCCTTGACCATGTTGTGTGGAACAAGGCAGGCAGGGGGAAGGTAGGTACAGTAGCACCAGTCACACCGTATGCTAAGAGCCACAGCTGCCTGACTTTGGCAATAAAAGGAGGAGGCCACCGCTCCCTGATATTCCTGGAGCTGGACATGGGTCCTTAAAAAGCCTTGGCTTAAACCACAGGCTGGCCTGTGAGGCTCAGAGGGAGCCTCGATTCTGTGACTTTGAGGCACCTCTGCTTGTATAACCAAATGGGAGGTTTAAAAACATGAAGTTACCCACAGCTTAAAGTCACAAAGTAAATCTTCATTCAATTATCTTCTAAGCCCCAAACTACTTTCCTCTAATCCTCTGCAGGATATGCTTTGTGCTGCACTGGTGGAGGATGACACGCCAAATGCACGAGCTGCCCCCCACAAGCTGCACGGGAGCCCCACAGCACAATCACAGGCTTCAGCAGATAACGAATCTTTTTTTTTTTTTTTTTAAGATTTATCCATTCATGCATGCAAGAACCAGGGTATAGGCCATATGTGCAGGAGGGTGAGAGGATTCGCCAGAGACAGAGTGGGGAGCAGAACAGGCAGACTGACTGAAATACACTGCTGAGGAGAGCAGCAGGCGAGTCAGGAAAGGTCTGCCGCGCCATGTGCCATGTGGGTACCTCCCCACTGACAGGGATTGAACCACGCTGCAGACAGCTTTGCAGTGCTGCACTCTACCACCTGTGCCACCAGGAGGCCCCAGATAATGAGTCACAGCATGACCCGGCTTTGAGGTCGAGAACGCTCCATCTGAAGAGTCACGTGGCCCTGATCTTGCTTAAGGGTGAAAACTCAACAGAAAATAAGGAGGGTTTTCGCCATCTGTCAAAAGCACGTTTCAGAGAGAGAACAAGTAATAGTCACTTGTGCTTGACTCAGGAATTCATGAAATTTTGCAAGAAGAGGGATGCTGGATGTGCCCTGCAGTGTCCACAGTGGCCCTCAAACACACTCTTCATCTTAGGACGAACCCCAGCAAGGGCACGCCCTTTGGACACTGCTTTTCTCATGGATGTGCTAAAAGATGACTGAGCTAGAATGAGTCTGGGCTCATTGGACACACACAGAAGACCCGAGAGCACTTTGTTTCTATGGCGAAAATCACCAGCACCAGAGGGATGACTCTTGATGCTGGAAAGTGTTTCTCAGAAGGACCCTGGGCAAATGGAGAGCCCAGGCATGGTGTCTGCATGCGTCTGTTTAGACGCTTGGCATCCAAGAGTGTGGTGAGCTGCAGCTACATGTGAAGGAATCAGCCGCAGCTAAGAGCTTCCTGCTCATCACG